TTTTCTCAAAAGTAAAAATTGTCAGGACAACAACCTGGGCTTTAAATAATAATAAAAAAAATAAAAATAAAAAGAAAACAGCGAGAAGTGTCAAAAATAACAGCCCCCCTGTTCATCGTCCCCCATCCCCCATCGAAGGCGCAGCTACTGGCAAAATGCTCGGTCTTTGCGTTAGCCAGAACCCCACTGGCGGGCCCACCCCATCTCTGAATTTGCTGTTGGGCTAGGGGGCCAACATGAATCCCTCTGATTTTGTGATGCACCTATGCTTGCAGGGGTCCCCTCCTGGGCTTAAAATAAAATAAAATAAATAAATAAATAAAAACAGCAAAATGCTGGCAAAATGCTTGGTCTCTGCGTTAGCCAGACCCCCACTGGCGGGCCCACCCCATCTCTGAATTTGTTGGGGCAGGGGGCCAACATGAATCCCTCTATCTTTGTGACGCACCTATGCCTGCAGGGGTCTCCTCCCTCTATATAGCCTTTTAAGAGTAGTTGTAGGTCCGTAGTTAAAGGCAAAAAAAGGAATTTCAGAGAAGAATATCTAGTTGAGGAACTGTAGTTGAAAAGAACAAAAAAAAAAAACCAGCCCCTTGTTAGTAGGGGGACTCAGACGGATTTGGCCCCGGCCCTGACTTTGCTGACATGTATATTTGCCTTGGGCACTGGGCTCTGTAACAGAAGTTGGATTTTCTGAAATTAGAAAAGAAAATTGTTTTTTTTGCAGAAGGGTGGTTTTGACAAATTTTCCAAAATTGTCCAAACTGTGAACCGCCTCCCGAAATAGGAATAATTACCAAGCCTGTCGAAATGGACCTCCAAAAGAAGGGAAAAGAAAAGAAGAGGGAGGATTGATGCCATCCACCTTTGTTTTGGGCTAAACCCTTTTCGTTCGAACTCTAATTAACCGTCGTCGTGCCGGATGAATCTGGTCTAAATCCCTTCTGTACGAAGCCTATGCAAAATTACTATAAACATGATCTAAACCCTACTTATTTAACGATCAACAACTTAATCTGTGCCGTACTTTAACAGTGCTCGTGTAGGATAAACCTGAGATAACCCCCTTTTTCTATCTGTCAGTGAACCCTATGCAAATCACCACTTAACCTATGCCCTATTTTAACCATGGTTGTGTTGGATAAACCTTTCTATCTGAACTCACTTATTTAACCTCTACTTAACCTGCTTTACCACAACTTAACCTCAGTTAAAATTTACCACTATTTGAACTTTAAACTTTTTACCACAACTTAACCTGAGTTAAGTTTTAACCACTACTTTACCACTATTTAAACTTAACTTTTTACCACAACTTAACCCTCGTTAAGTTTAACCTCTACTTAACCTGTTTTACCACAACCTAACCTGAGTTAGAATTTATCGCTATTTAAACTTAACTTGTTTCACTT